AGTATGAATTTGTTCTCTTTCAGGTCCAGTTCTCTAAACCAAATAAAATCAAACTCCAGGTTCCATTTGGCAGAGTTGGCCAAAGATTGAATCTTGACCACGTTTGGGGAAATCTACTCCTCGGATTGTAAAAAAAAAACCACAAACCAACCACAAACTTGGGGATATACATAGTATGCAGAAAATGGGGAAAGGGGCCTGGTGTTTTCTTGGGATTCTCATTATAGTTACCTTTCTCTCCTGCCACACGGGGCTGATGTCAAGGGCTGCTCCCCCACCTCCACTGCCTCCCAAGCTCTGAAGCTCTGTGTTGGCTCAGAGACCCCACGACGGCCCTTACGGGACTGCCTCAGAGATCCTTTCACTGCTGTTCTCCAGGCTGACCCTTGGCCTGGCCTCCGCAAGTATCAGCAAGTATTCCTCCATATGGGCTGCTCTTGGGAAAGGCACCTCCCAGTGGTGCCACTCCCTCGATTCCATTAGAGACACGGATTTCCCGTTCCCTCTGCTCTAGGATGAGCCAAGTTAATCTTCCTCAGTGGTCCTGAAGCCCAGAAGCTCTTTACAGATCCTGTGATGGTCTTGCCTAAAGTGGGATTATCTGGGCAGAAATTTCAGGCAGGATAAGGTGGGTAAGAGAAGGATCATCTAGAAATAGAAGAGGAGAAAAGTGAAGAAAATTGTTAGCAATTATTTACTCCTGAGGGAATAAAGTGGACAGCTGTTAAAATTTCCATTTGTCAAAACGACCAGGGATAATCTTCCTAATGTCCTAATATATATTTCTGAAAGTATTTTTTGAACAAGTATTTACACATGGTTATTAACGCACAGGGCAAAAAAGCTTCCCTTTACCCTGTTCCCTGTTTCTCTTCCTAGAGGTAACCATTGTTATCACCAGCTTTTTTTTTTAATATGCTTTTATTGATTCTAGAGAGAGAGAGAGGGAGAGAGCGAAACATTGATTGGCTGCCTCCTGCACTCCCCCAACTTGGTTTAGAGCCTGAAATCCAGGCATTGAACTGGCAACCTCTTGGTGCACGGGATGACGCTCAACCAACTGAGCCACACTGGCCAGGGCATCACCAGCTTATAATGTATCTTCCAGAGATTTTCCAGCTCCACATGAATATATATATATATATGTGCCCATTTTTTTGTCTTTTTTTCCATTTTTTGTTCAGATCGAATGGGAGGGGGAGAGAGGAAAAGAGAGAGAGAGAAACATCGACGTGAAAGGGACACATCAAGTGGCTGCCACCTGTACGGCCACCCAGGGCCAGGGACAAATTGCAACAGAGGTACATGCCCTTAGCGGGAACCAAACTCCAGTCTCTCTGGACCACAGGCTGACGCTCTAACCGCTGAGCCAAACCAGCCAGGGCCCATTTTTTTCTTTTTTAACACAGTAGTTGGTCTAGTGTACTAGATCTACTATTCACTTTTCTTTTTTACTAAAAAAATATTTGGGATATTGTCTTGTATAAGCATATAAAGTTCTATCAGTCTTTTTAATGATTGTCTAGCATGCAGCTTGGATTTGTGTATAGTATTAGAATTACCTTGTCCTTTCTCAGGCATGGAGTCTACCAAAAATGTAAAAAATTTTAAATCCCTCTATCCTGAGAAATTTTAGTTTAGTTTGACTATTCTGCGACTCTTTAGTGGAGAATGAATGTTTCTGTGTCTGTTCTGCAGAGACCACAGGGTGGAAGACTCTTGAGAAGTTACATTTCTCTACTTTCGCCATGTAATACAGGCCATTTAGATTGGAGGCCTATAGTCCCCCCCCCCTCCACTTTTTTAAAGCTATACTTTTTTTTTAATCCTCACCCAAGAATCTTCCATTTTTGTTCAGATAGAGCTGGAGGGAGGGAGGGTGGAAGGGAGGGAGAGAGGGAGAAGGAGAGAGAGAGAGAAACATTAACCTGAGAGGGACATATCCAATGGTTGCCTCCCGCATGACCCTAATCAGGGGCGGGAATGAATCAAAACCCAGATATATGCCCTTGACTGGGATGGAACCCGCGACTCATTGGTCTGCGGGCCAACGCTCTAACCGCTGAGCCAAACCAGCCAGGGCTAAAGCTGTAGATTTTTTTAATTGACCTAAGAGAGAGAGAGGAAGGGAGGGAGAGAGAGAGAGGAAGGGAGAGAGAAACATTGATTTGTTGTTCCACCTATTTATGCATTCATTGGTTGATCCTTGTATGTTCCCTGAGGAGAGATAGAAGCTACAACCTTGGCGTGTAGAGATGGTGCTCTCACCAACTGAGCTACCTGGCCAGGGCCTATCGTTTTAACATTTAAGACATGTTCCATTTTGTAGGAATTTCAGAATTGTTGGGGAGTGGGTAGCTGATCCTTTGGGAAAACAAGTGGCTATCCAGTTTAAAATTTTTCTGCTTACATTCTTTCTCCCTCTTTTTAAAATTGGATTAGTTTAAATAAAATAAGGGGAATTTTGCACACCTGAATGAAAGTTTCCTCAGTTTAAGACAATTCTGTCTCATAATATCAGGCCACGAAACTTCATAGCTGGGTCTACCTTGGGGCATCCTAACAGCTACAGACTCTGCTAATAAGGGCCTGGTTGTCTCTGTTTTTTTATTTAAAATTCTTTGAAGAGAGACTCAAGCTCAGGACAATTTTTCACACCAGATGCAGATCCAATGATTCAGGATGATGGTCTTCTGGCCTCCCCCTCTAGCCAGGTGTATGGGCAAGGAGATATTGGTATCTCTGCTTCACTATCTATTAGCTTTGTCCTCGGGAACAAGCTGCTTCAACTTTTTAAACTTTTGTTTTTCTTGTGGAAGAGGGGGACTTAATAATATTACCCCTTTTGCCTGGCTGGGCTGGCTCAGTGGACTGAGTGTCGTCCCATGGACTGGGAGGTCCAGGTTTGATTCCTGGTCAGGGCACATCCCTGGTTTGCGAGCCTGATTCCCAACGGGGGACATGCATGAGGCAGCTGACTGATGTTTCTCTCTCTCCAAAAAAAAAAAGCAAGCCCTGGCCTGTTTGGCTCAGCGGTTAGAGCGTCAGCCTGTGGTCCAGAGAGACTCAGGTTTGGTTCCCGCTGGGGGTGCATGCCTTGGTTGCAGTTTGTTCCTGGCCCTGGTTGGGTCGTGTGGGTGGCAACCACTCGATGTGTCCCTTTCATGTAGATGTTTCTCTCTCTCTCCCTCCCACTCTATCTGAACAAAATATCAAAGGGTGTCCTCGGGTGAGGATAAAAAAAAAAAAAAATTACCCCTTTCAGAGAGTTAATTTTGAGAATAAAATTAGATCACACATGTAAAATCCTTTGTACAGTTCTAGACACAGAGTAAGCTGAGAGTAAATGGGAATAATCATTATCGTTATTATTATGGAAAAGACACTGTACTGGATGCTAGATGCATGGAGTTTCAAGCTGTAGTTCCTCATGATGAGACAGATCTCTGAGGCGCTTTCTCCTGTGGATTATGCAGGCATAGGAGTTTAGTTCATTTGGGCTCTGCTGTATTTATCCATCCATCTATCTCAGAGTCAGAATTCAGATGTGATAGTGTTGTCTCAAGCTTGCACGCTTATTCAAACTGAACATTTTGTCATATTTATTTGTCACAGGGAACCCCCCTGACTTGGCAGTTGTCTGATTCCATTCGTTACTATCTCCATGACTGGGAAACACATCTTAATCTAACCTAGCTGCAGTTTCCTCATCTGTAAAACATACATGCTAATGGTAGTTAATGCAGAGTTATGACATTAATGCCCCAGTATACAGTGTTCAATAAGTGTTAGGGATTGCTATTTAATAACATCATCTATTATTTATTGTGATAATGACTTACTAGGGACAGGGTATAGATGATCCCAGCTTAATATAGTTGTTTCTGACGATGGGTGAAGTGAGGGAGTGGGGAGTCTGAAATGAGGTCTTGCCAAGCACCTCTGTTTCCTCTTATACGGCCTATTTCTAGTAGTAGTAATGCCCTTTCTCTCCTTTTCCCATTCCTTCTGGAGGGGCTCTCACCCAGTGCCTCTGTCCCTCAGCATCTGAATTGTCCCTCATTGCTCCGAGCCACTTGCTACAATGTTGTGACAGATCACAAGTTCCTTCTCCTTTTACTCTTGGGGCAAGTCGGTGTCTGTCTGTTCGTATCTCCAGAACTAACGCAGGGCTGAATCCCACGGGTTTCATCACTGTGCCTCGCAACTGGGGTGGCACTTCTGGAACACTTTACTTCCCTTATCATTTCACTGTTCCAGGGGCAGGACCAGATCCTAGAACCTCAGAATGCCATGATGGAAAGGTCCTAACTCTATTCCCAACTCTGTTTTACAGAACAGTGAGCTGAAGCTCAGAGGGGGGAAGTAAAATGCTTCAACAGGTAGCCGATGGAGACGCAAACTTGGGTTTCTGACTCCCGAACCGAGAGAGGTTCCCGGCATCTCCCGGCTGTCTGTCCCTCGTGGCCTCTCTCACTGGGAGCGACTACAAAGCCAGGGAGACGGCAGCCACCCAGATAGATCCTCACGGTTTTGCGGACCCCTGGCCATGCCGTTAGCGCCGCGGTCGAGGGCAGCTCGGTTCTCTGGGGGCTGCAGGGCTCCCCTGGGGCTTGGAAAAATCCCAGGGCGGGCCCACGGGAGCAAGGGGAGCTTCGGGCTGCTGCGGGGCTGGGAAGTAAAAGGAGTCGCCCAGGGCGGGGAGGGCAGAGCCCCGGCTGGAGTGTGGGGAGTGACCTGGTAACTGGGCACTTGGAAACCCTTACGGGGAGCCCCGCGGGTGAGAACCGCGGCCGGCTCCAGGGCCTTACCGCCCGCCCCACCCCCGGCCCGCCGAGCACGGCTGACCCCGCCCCCTGGAGTCCGGTTCCCCGGACAGCCGGCGCCGCGCGCAGTGAGCCGATCGCCGCCGTCCTGTGTGCGGCACCCCGGCCGCCAGTGCTGCGAGCCCGCCGCGCCCACCGGTGCGTTAGGCTGCGGGCCGCGGCCGCCCGCACAGCATGGCCCGGCCCGTGCAGCTGGCGCCGGGCTCGCTGGCACTGGTGCTAAGCAGGCTGGAGGCGCCGAAGGCGGCGGGGGTCGCGGAGGAACCCGGTGGGCACGCGGTTTTCCGTGCCTTTCGTCGCGCCAACGCGCGCTGCTTCTGGAACTCGCGGCTGGCGCGCGCCGCCTCGCGGCTGGCCTTCCAGGGCTGGCTGCGCCGAGGGGTGCTGCTGGTGCACGCGCCCCCCGCCAGCCTGCAGGTGCTGCGCGACGCCTGGGGCCGCCGGGCGCTGCGCCCTCCCCGCGGCTTCCGCATCAGGGCGGTGGGTGAGTGCGGGCCGGAGGGAGGGGGCGCCCCGCGCGGCCTGCGGAGACCGAGTCCTGGTTACTGGGGTGCAGGCAACCCCTGGCTTAACCCTGAGGGGGCGGGAATGGGGGGGGTGATTGAGGGGATCAGAAAACAGGCTGGGTGGCTGGAGAAGGGCTGTCCTCCGACGGCCTTCCCTCCAGCGGGGACGCTGACGCTCCGGCCCCCAAGATAAGCCTGGCCGCTGTCCTGGGCCAACTCCAGGAGGCCCCCGTTCCTCAAATCTTTCAGCCAGTGGAGCGCACCGCACCGGTTCCTGGCCGAAGGAACTTTCTACTTAGAAAAGTGATGCTTTGAGGAGAAAGGCTTTGTGCTCTGGGAGCCAGAGGTTTGGTCAGGAGATAGGGGCCTCTGTCTCTGCTCCATGGGGGCACTAGGAGTTGGCCAGAATCTACCTGTACTTAAGTGGCTGCTGCTTTTTTTTTTTTTTTTTTTTTTAACTACAGACTTGGAGCAAAGTCTGTGGTTTCATATTCTGCTATATTGGGTGGTGTGGTGGTCTTGGATCAGGGCCTAGCGGAAGTTTTGGGGTCGTTAACTGCTTGGGTAAAAGACATGACAAATGGCGCTCTGGACACATCGCATCGACTACATAGAATTCCTCCGTTCCAGTCTTTTCAGAGACCCATTTGTCTGAAGTCAGACAGCAGCTTTTGCCTGTGTGAAATAGCTTCTCATTTGAGAAACTAAACCACTGCACCACTGAGTGAGTGTTCTCTGGCACCCGCCACTAAACTCAGGTGGGCTGGGGCTGTCAGCTCCCTCTAACAGCCTGGTTCTGTCTGTCTGCGTTTATGTGGGGTTGTGACGACAATTTGATGCTGTGCTGTTGACAAGTCACCAGTTGTTCCAGCCCTGAATTTTGACTCCTACCAAGGAACCCCGCTCTGTCTCAGTCCATAAATCCTCCTCCTCAGAGGAGGAGCAGCAAATAAAAAACATTTGTTTTAGCCCCCAGGGGAAAAGAAACAGGGGATAGCAAAAGGCACTGGATGTTGTGCATCACCTGCTCAGAGATGGTGTCTCTACATCTCAGGTTAAACCTTAACTTGTCACCTCCATGCATTACCATTCTGTCTGGTATTCCACCCCCCACCTCCACCCCCCCAACACACACACCCTTTTTCTTCCCTTAAGAGCAAAAAAGAGCTCATTTGCAAAGCCACATAAATGCATTTCATCTCCTTTTACTTGCAGGAGTGAGTGAAGAAAATAGGTTTTTGGCTCTGAAAGCCAAAATTCTCACAGGGGAAGGGGTCTTTCAGACAGGCTGGATGAAAAACTCTTTTCAGTTCTGTGTCCTGGGTTTTTCTGGTTTGAATTAGCGGTTGCATTCTCTGGTTCCCCCGCCCCCTTTCGAAGGGTGAGCATAGAGTGTATTGCAGAAAGGGGGTGGGTGGAGTAAGGGTCTAGACCTGAGGGTGAAATAGAGAGGGCTTGTGCTAAGCCAGAGGCAGCCATGATGCCACTACCTGGGGTCCAGCGAGCAGTGGTGAATGCTGGTTCCTGGGTTGGCCCGGTTTGCTACTGTCTGAAAGATGCAGTAGACAAAGTGAACGCATCACCAGGTGCTCTGATTCTCCACCACTAGGTAATGCTATCTCATTGCATAACTCAGAATGCAGTTGACACTGTGTTCTATGGAGTGTGCAACATAGTGGTCTTTACGCTGGGTCATCACCCTGACTTGGGTCTCTTGGCTGAAATTCTTTTGAGGTTTTTAACAGAGTACTGATAAAAATTAAGACATTTAGCTGGAATTTCTACAAAATCATCTATTGGGATATTTTGAGGAGCAAAATGGGGAAAGATCTTATTTGATGCAGGTCAGTGGATTCATATGGAGGGAGGTTGTTTTGAATAGAACGGCTAACTACTAGTCCGAGGTGTGGTCCTTTGGTCAGGTCAGAGGGGAGGAGTCAGCAAGGCAGCCCTTGGGCCATCTCAGAGTCCCAGAAGGTGGTGAAGGCTGGAGGGGCTGGCTTGCCCCAAAGGAATTGGGAGTTTCAGTCTGCTTGCTTTCCTGAATCTGGCAGCATTGACTTCCAGAAGCTGAAATGGGCTTCCAGGGAGGCAAGGGAAGAGCAGCTGTGCATTATTGCAGGTTTCGCACCATTCTTGTTACTTTGTGGGAACCAGCAGAATGCTAGAAGACACAAAGGGTCGATTTGGATAGACGAGTTTGGTGTTTTTGCTGTAGTTTTTTTTTTTTTTTTTTAAAAAGGCATAGGGAATATTGCCAGCCAGCCAGCTGACACAAAATGCTGGCAGGGAAAGAGGTATGGCCATGAGTTTAAAAAACCCACTGTGCTCCCCTGAGTCCTCCTGGGGCTTATGGGGCCTCATATGATATGATGATTGAGTGCCTTGGCCAAGTGGACAGAAGTGATCTGAGCCCCAGATGCAGACCTGAATTCTGCAGATACAGACCTGTAGAAGTTTGTTTAAAAAAATTTTTTTTTTCTTTATTGATTTTTAGAGAGAAAGGAAGGGAGAGGGAGAGAGAGATAGAAACATCGAGAGAGAACATTGATTGGCTGCCACCTGCATGCCCCCCACTAGGGATTTGGCCCACAACCGGGCCATGTGCCCTGCCCAGGAATCAAACCATCAAACTGATGACCTCTTGGTGCTTGGGTCGATGCTCAACCACTGAGCCACACCGGCTGGGCCCTGTAGAAGTTTTTATTCATGTTTTGTGCCTTTTCTTTCCCCCTTCACTTTCTCTACTTCAGCTTCCCTCTGGTGAGAAAATGTTTCCCAGGCTATTTCCCTAGACAGAGGGATGTAGGGTCTTTATTAGTTTCAGGTGTACAGGGTAGGCTCTTTAAGATGATAACTGGCGCTAATCTCCCTTTGTGCTCTAGTACTCAAGTGTTTTCTTTTTTCTTGTCTTTCTTTTAAATTAGCAAATTACATTAGCAGATGAAAGGGGTGTGCTCTGGAAACTGGAGGGAGACATCTGTTTACCTAGCTGAGCCACTGCAGGTGGTAGGGGTGGAGGACACCTGTATTTATTTGGGTGAATCAACTGCTACTCTGGGTCCACACCTACTAGGTAGGTGAGAGAGATTACCCTGAGGTAAGGGAGGAAAGGCCATTTGGCCAAACAAGTTTGTTCCCTTCTCATGAAATAGCTGAGGTATCGACTCTTTCATCCCCATCATGGCCTTCCATCTTTTTTCATCGAATAAGAATGCCTGTGGCTCTTTTAAAGTATTTGCTTCATTCCTTCATTAATGTGCCAGGTACTGTTCTAGGTGTTTCTGTGTTTAATGGATTGTTCATTCAGAGTTGCATGTCCTCAAGAAGAAAATGGAGTCAGTTTGTTTCCCCCCTATTCAGTTCAAGAGGGGATAGTTGAGTGGGGGGCTAGCTTCACAGTCTTCTCCATCCCACTGTGATACGTGTGAGCAGGTTCTGCCTCTGATTTAGTTGGACCAACATTCCCTGGTATGTGCTTTGGTGACGGGGAGAGGGTCCTACAGATCAGGCAGGTCAGGCTCGTGAAGGGGAGCTAATGTGAGAATCTTCCTACCTCTCCTCATGACCCTCCTCCCACCTGCTTCCTGAAACATCTCTGAGCATAGAGAGTTAATCAAGGCAAAATTACAAGTGCCCTGGAAGACTAGAATTTATGCTAGGAGTAAATGACTGATTTCAGACTCTCTTCTGGGATCTGGTATGGGAGAGGAACAGCTCAAGGGTATGGGTGCCTGGTTGTACAAGAGTTGGGCAAACATCTGAAATGCTGTCTGACTTATTCTGTGATTAGGGAATGGCACAGAGGAGTGTGTAGGGGTGATGAGGAGAGGGAGTGATCCAGCTCCTATTCTGTCTTGTTTCTGAGGTCCTGCCTTGAATGGCAGTAGGGCATCTTGTAGGTTTTAGTAGCCAGTGAAATTTACATTTAATGAAATGTACAAATCGTAAGTGTAACATTTGATTCATTTTTCAAATACATAAGTGAGTGTAACTCAAACTCCTAACAGGATTTAGAACATTATCATACCCCAGAAAGTTCCCTCTTGCTCTTCCCAGGCACCTCTGTTCCCACCCTCAGAAGTAACCAGTATAATGATTTAAAAAAATTTTTTTAAATTGATTTTAGAGAGAGAGGGAGATAGAAACATGGATCAGCTGCTTCCTGCACGCACTCTGCTGGGGGTCAAGCCTACAACCTGGGCATGTTCCCTGACCAGAATCAAACTGGTGACTTTTTGGTGCATGGGATGATGCTCGATCCACTGAGCCACACCAGCTGGGCTCTTCTGATTTTTTTAAACTATAAAATTTGCCTGTTCAAGAATTTCATGTGAATGGAATTATTAGTATGTACTCTTTTGTGTGAGGATTCTTTTCATTCGACTTCATGTTCCTGAGATTCATCTCTCTTGTGTTACTAGTTTGTTCCTTTTTATCACTGAGTAGAATTCCATTTTATGACTATACCACAGTTTATTCATTTTCCCTTAGATGGACACCTGGGATATTTCCAGTTTATGGTATTATGAATGAAGCCTCTGTGAATATTTATGTACAAGTTTTTTTTGTTTTGTTTTTTTTCTCTTATGCTTCTGCTTTTCTGAGTTCTCACCTAGGAGAGGAATTGCTAACTCACTGAGTAAGTTATGTTTAGTTTTATGAAATCTTCTCCCAAAGTGGTTGTACCATTTTACATTCCTACCAACAAAGCTGACAGTCCTGGTGGCTGCACACCTTTGCCAAAATTTGATGTTTTCAATCTTTATAACTTTAGCTATTCTAGTGGTATCTTGTAGTTTTTGTTCTTAATTGATTTTAGAGAGAGAGAGGGAGGGAGGAAGGGTGAGAGAGAGAGAAAGAGAGAAACATTGATTTGTTTTTCCACTTATTTATGCATTCACTGGTTGAGTCTTGTATGTGCCCCCACTAGGGATTGAACCTGTAACCTTGGCCTATTAGGACAATGCTCTAACGA